CACTTTGTTTGACGGTTGCCCATGGCATTCTGGCCTTCCTCACATTCAGTGACAATGACTACCCTATTGAGCACTGGCCGCTCATAGTTTTATGGAACAAATCAAATGAATTCCCTAAGAAGTTTATTATTAAATTAATCCATAATCGAAGCGCCGTCATATATATTTGTTTCACTGCTCTCGTAAACTCTATATTTTAATACTGTTAATGCATCGGGATTATTTTATTTTTAAACTTGATAGCTCATTTATTAAATCAAAAATACATGTAAAGAAAAAGGTTTACGGTGCTAAATGAATTTTTTGTTAAAAATAAATTAAAACACCTGTATTGTTATATTGAACTGTTACGAGACTACATCGATTTTCCAGAACATCGTCTGACAATAACGTTGCAAAAGCCCCATGATGATGTACAAATTGATAGTGTGACTAACCACGGACTGAAAAAAAACGCATTTTTTACGAAGACTTCATTGGGTACACTATTTTTATTTTGCTTTAAGTGTTTGTTTGCTTTTAAGCTGTGTTATTTGTATTTATTTTTTGATTTCGGACCAAGAGATGCAATTTCTTACAATTGTATATAATCTTACAAAGGTAATTAAAACCGAGATTTTCTTGTTTTCAAAAATGTTCAGCAGCTCTCTGTCAAAGAAAATTGAAAATGTAGCCATATTTTTATATTATTAATCTAATTAAATGCCGGTAATCTGAAGATAAGTTATAATATTTTATGAAAAAAACTAAAACATGATAAAGTTTTCAAATATAACATCAGTATCACTCTTTCGAAATAATATACGGAATAAATTATTATGTGTTCCAAATTTTTCGATATTGAAATATGCATGTCAAATTCAGCTAACGAATTTCCAAAGTAATTTAGACAACGGACATGCGTTCATTGAAATGCCGCTACGGACGTGACGTGACTAAATTGGTGGATAGTTTTTTTTTTAAACATTTTTGTCTTTTTTAAGATATATGCATATGAAGTTTCGTATAATTATTAAATAATATAATTAATTAGACAGTAATTAATCCCTTATTAACTCTGAGACGTTATAATCTAATAATGAAGAATAATGAATGAATCTAATAATGAAAATATGAAGTTCAGTCCTTTTTTTAAACGCCTTTATTAGCTTGGTAGGTATATAGGTATGGGAGTGACGAAATGTTTGCAGTGGATATTTTACAATTTATAATTTAGAAACAATTGATACTGTTACGTTGCGTAATACTAAAATTTTTAAAATATAAAATATAAGGAACAAAACATTGAGTAGAATTTAATTTGACACAAAAAACACAACTAAAAATTAAACATTTTTTTCCACTTCAAATAAGGGTTGATTCATAAAAGTGTGCTTGATGTTCATTGATGTAAATATTTTATGTTGATGGGTACTAATATAAGTAATGATATTATAAAATTACTTCAGAGAGCTCTCACACTTTTTTAAATTAAAATGACATCATTATCAATCACTCAACCCTTATAATAGTGTTAAAAAATATTGTAAAATTGATCGTTTTAAAAGTATTAATATCTTAACATAATTTAAAGAATGTCATAAGAAGGCGTACTTACTATACTTTTATATTTGTCATTTTTAGAACATCTTTTGAAATTATTTTTATAGCCTCAATTTAACTTTAAGGCAGTTATTTATTTACTCTATAGTTAATTGTATCTATCTATATTATTGTATAGTCAGGAGAGAAAATGAAATAATAGGTAAGATTTAATGTAATAAGAATAGGACACTAGGTGAGTCGAGTTAAACGGTGCAAGTGGTTACGACGGCTAATAAAACTTGTGTCAGTTCACTCTGCTTTAGAGACACCTGAAAGTGACTACTATTCTTAAGATATAATTTGGAAGATATTTTTGACAGCATCTTAAAAATTACCAGCAGAAATGTGTGAAACCGCTTCAAAATTAACTGAATTGTTAAATGAGTGAGATCGTTCTTTGGATCTGTCAATGCGTTCTGCTGAAAGTTTTCGTTATTTAATTCTGCTGATAATACTGATTGTCTATGACCTTAAGCCTTCATTTAATCGTCATTGCAATTAGTATTACGAGAGTAACTCTTTTATTTAATCTATAAATGTAAATATAATTGGAGTGTCTGATTGTTTTATTGAACTAACCGTTTTTACTATTGACATATGAACATATATGGTGACTACACCAACATAACATTTTTCACATTTTTTTCTGTCTATCTGTTTTTTTTTTTGGCTTATCTTTGAAATGGCTGAACCAATTTTGATAGGACTTTCATTAGCAGGTAGGTGATGTAATAAGGAGTAAACTAGGTTATTTTTTAACCCGGTCCCTAAATTGAGCGTTTTCATTGTCTCTTGGTTTTGTTTAGCAGACGGATTTGCGGGTAACAACTAGTAAAAAATAAATTCGTTCAACTCTAATGTCATTACAAATAAAATATGTTGGGTGTATAAAAATTATAGGAAACGTTATATTTTAATTTTCGTAGTCATCTAAGTGTTAAATTTCCTTAACTCAAAAACTTTATCGAATCCGAAGTAAGAAAGTTCGGTTTCGTGTACAACTTTATCGTATTAAAGTTTATGCATATTTAATATTTAAATGTGTCTCTATGATAAGTTTGAAAGTTTTCTATATTTATTATATGTTTCTCCATAAAACTTAATTTGAAATATAATTGTGTTTAATGAATTTGGAATATATGTATATATTTAAGTCGACATAAATCGTATACTAACCAGAAATACCTTAAATTTAAGTGGCCGTTCCCTAAAAAGTAAAAATAACTTGCTAATAATTAATAAATACATTTGATTTACTTCATAATTAATCTTCTATGTTAGATAATATAACAAATAATTGTTAATATAACGTTATCAATCGATGTATAATAGCATTAAGATAGTACATATTATAAAATGTTACGTTTCAAAATATATCTCTAAAGATGAAGTGAACATTTTTCTTTTACATATATATAGCTCAGAACCTCCTTTTAATTTTTGAGTAGTATCTAGTTCTTTAAATGAAGTTTAACATGAAAAGGGTCGAAAGCACCTACTTTAATAGAAGTCTATGATGCATATATAGAATATTTGGAATTTAGACTGAAATTTGCAATAACAAAGACGGAGAAATATAACAAACTATAAATCATCAATAAAAAATTTGAGAACATCGTTACTTCATTTACGACTCAGTGACTCAGAGGTGACATAATTATTATCGTATAGGTAAAATCAAATCTGGATTGTTACAGTCAACTTAAATATTACGAAATGACAAGAATTCTGATATCTTATGTATCACCTGATAATTTGTAATAAAGAGTAACGTGCACCTGTTATTCGTCAAGGATTTATTCATACTATTATCACTTTATGTTTGTACCTACAAAAAAATATTTTTAAAGTAATTTTCTTAATTATATATTTTTTTAAAGGAATAATCCGTAGTCATTTTTTTATTTACTCAAAGTAATAGAAAATATTTAAAAAATGGGTGAAAATCTATTGTACCAATTTTATAATTAAGTTCTAATTTATAATGACATTGTTGAATGATATTGAAGTAATGACCTTGATGATCCTTAGTCGTAACCAGGAACGAAACTTGTCTCTGTATGTTCTATCGCCTGTACAGTGGATAGTTATGCCATACAGTAATCTGTTTCGTCGGAGCACATGTGATCCACACAACTGAGATTGTTTTTTGCTGTAAAATTGTAAGTGTGGCGCAGCATTTTAAAACAATCGTAGGATATTAAATTATCTGCATCTTAAGATTTCTTTAAAATATCACGGTTTTGCATTCCTTTCGTGTAAGAAATGTCATCAAGACATCTTCAAATTGATGTTGCAAAAGTCCATGAAAACTGAAACTACTTAACTTTGTGTGATATGCCCGCTTGTTTTTCCATCTTTCTGGTATATAAAATAGCTTTATCAATACCCGTAGATTTGTGATGCTCATATTTAAAGTGTGAGTCGAATTGAAATTATAAGTCTGTAATACTTATTTTGATCACCCCTTAACTGATTCTGTATTTTATCACTACTATAAAACATTTTACGTATAGGTACATCTGTAGGAAAAAAAACGAGCAAGGGCCCAAAAACTGTTCATTATGTGTTTCATATAAAGATCTCTATACAAATCTCCATACTTTTTTTGGTAACTGTTTTCAAGAGAAGTGAGTGTCACGGGGCAAGTGTGTATGGAATTAAACCTCATTGGATAAAAAAGCCCAAATGTGATAGGAGGCGAGTGTGAAACAAGAGTATAAAAATGTTGTTTTGCCCATTTTAAATTTCTTTTCCATATGTTTGTTTTCCAAATGTTGAATGAATCTATTAGGAATTTAAACATTAGGTGTTATGTTAAGTTTTCTAATTTTTTTGTTTTTTTGCCACAAATTATAAGAATAAGCATAAGTTAGTACTTTTTTAAACCATTGTTTTTGTTCTGATTTGAACACTTCGACAGTTTTATAAAAACATAGAATAAATATATTCTCATACAGTAATAAAGTCTGTTATAATTATACTAATATTTTAAACGATAACAGATCTACTATATCAGATGTTGCTGGATAAGGGATTTTAGAGATCTCTTCATTTGTCTAAATTAATTACTTTGCTAGAAATTGTACATTGGCTGCTAATATTAATTTCTGAATATACACTCGCCAGAGTATGCCAATACTGTTATAAATATCAAATAAGAGGATTTATATAAATATAGAAATTATTATTATATAATATATACTTTCATATAAAGTGAATTTAAAAAAAATATAAGAAAAAAAAAAACAACCAACTTTATTAATAATTATGTAATTTGATTTGTAAATACTTTTGAGTCTATTCATTTTTTTCCAATATCTTCTATTTGGGTAACTTTATCATGTGATTAGAACACCTGTGCAATAGTTCGCTTATAAATAGTATGTGTGTGACGATTTTTTTAATTAGTAAAAATGTCTCGGTTGGTGATAATTTGCTGTTTGGTGATCTTCTGTCTTAAAGGCGCACTAGGACTATCAACCCCTGTTGCGCAATGTAAGTTAAATAATTTCTCTCAATTTAATCACTGACTAATAAGAATGTCTCAAAAATATCACATGTATGTATAGTTGGATTTCATAGAATATTCCAGGAAACAATTTTTTTCTTTTGAATCATGGGTTTCGTAAAAATAATTCAGTAGAAGATATTATGTTACCACCTCAGACTGTTTTTATTTTAGAAATTTATTTATGTAAATAAATATAAAATAACTACTTCTAGCATAATAAGTTTGAGCAGATCTGATAATAAATATGAATCTAATCTTTTTAACTTCGAGTCCTTATTTTAAACTCAAAATAGAATTGTTATAAGTTTGACTTAGACATATGTCTATCCGTCTGTCTGTCTGTCTGAGTATCTGTCTGTCTTTTCATTGTAGCTTTCAAGGATTCGAAAAAATTTAATGCCATTTAATGATGTAAGGCATTTTTGTCATTTCTCTATTTAAAAAATGTTATAACATAAATCTTTTAATTGCTGGTTATAGGAAAGAACACCAGGTTATTGATTGTTGTGTTTAATTTTGCTCAATAATTTATTTGCTTTATCAGTTATGGTCACTTTAGCTTGTATGGACTAAAATAAGCATAAATTTATTGCTCTTTAAAAAATATTTTCTTTTGAATAAGGTCGGAGGAATAATGGATCTCTTCCTTTAAACGCCTACGTGTTGGGCTGCTTAGAAACGCCATGTCTTCTCCCACAAAATCAGAATGCAGTTATTGATGTAGTTTTCAAAGCCCGTAAGTGAATAACATTATTTTCTTTTAATAGATTTGTTATTGAAATTTTAAACATTTGAACTTTTTGACTATCTCTTAATTTTAAATGTTATGTTTGTTGCAGCCTATCTGCTCTATGACATGAAGTCTAGAGCCGTTGCTGACATATTTAATAATGATATTGATTATAATTTAGAAGAAAACGCAGTCACTTGCAACTTTATAACAAATTCGTACTGTCCAATATTGGAAGGGGAAGTGGTTGAATATTCTCTTAAGATGTTTATATCATCATCAATTCCAACTGTAAGTATATTATTATTTCCTAAACTTACATCATCAGAAAAAGAAATTTAATTTTTTCTGACATTAATTAAATAGTTTCCAGTAACTATTCAATTCAGCGTCGAAGATAGACATGGTGTTCCAGTGTGGTGCATTCGATTGCCAGTTCTTGTTGTTCCAGCAAATTAAAAGGAAACCGAAGTCCTTTATATTAAAGTAAACATAAGTTAAAAAATAATTGTAAAATAGTAAGTAACTTAGTAACTTTCACGAGTCATAAACATTTAAATAAATGCATATTTTCATTGAGCAAGTTTATTTTTTGTAAAAATTTATATTGTATTGTTCTTATTATTTTTGATTGAACAGCCATATTGAATTTAAAAATGTAAAAAGTGGAGATAAATTAGGAATAGTAAAAGATTGCATTCATACAGAGGTTGCTAGCAATTTCTTACAGAAAATAGCTGTAATGATTATTATTACTGAAGCCAGGTCTCTCTTTCGTCTCTCTCTTTTTGAGTTGGTATCACATGTAGTAAGATACTTCCAGTTATTTATGACCATCGGTAGCTACTTTTCATCAAACGAAAACTGCAATATCCCTGAAAATCTGTTCAGTGATAAAATAATAAAATAATAATGGTTTGATTCTTTTTGATTATTATTTGAAATACTCACTCCTAAAACTCACAAAAATCTAAAATAAATAATTTGGATAAAAATTGTATTTTTTTACTTCAAAATTACAATGTTGCAATAGGTGTCAGTCCGAAAACTATACATAGTTCATTATGATATTGTAATTGCTGTTATATTAATATCACATCTGTTCAAAGTACAGTACGATCTTAATTTATTAAAACATTATATTGTTATATACATAAATGGTTTAAATATGTATATTTATTAATTATATTCGAATTTTAAAAAGAAAATAAATATATTACTTTTGATAGTTTGACAATGAAATTTAATTAAAATGAAAAAATATAAACAGTAAATTAAGGAACAAAATAATGATATATAATGTCATACAAATAAATTATTTAAAAATAATAATAAGAAATAAAATATTTAAAAATAATTGCTAACACAAACATTGACACTCAAAATCTTTCAACGACGGCACCTCGACGAACGACAACCAAAAAGTAAGCCGGCGTCTTTTTCACACATTGCTTCTCTATTATTATTTTTTAGAAGTTCCTCACTTTATGCTATACATGTATCAAAATTAATATTTTTAATTTTTTTTTTAATTTAATATCAGCCATTATCTTTGAGGAGATTGATTTGCTATTACTGCGATATAGAACCTCTTCTACTACTTTTCGCATCATTTTTTTTATAATATGATAATTATAGCGTTTTTTCACATACACAAGTCATAGGATGAACACAGTGTGAACTAAATATAAGTATACTTAAATATAGTGATGTGACCTTATAACGGTTGGTATGCAGTCTTGGTCTGTCTAATTATCTATAAATAAGGATAGATATAGATATCTTTAAAGACAAAAATTTTTAATGTCACATTCAATTCAAATGTTTTTTTACTTGAAATACACTTATTTATTGAATAAAAGAGAGCAATGCGTAACAATTGAGTTAATTATAGTACAAGCAATCTGTTCGGAAGTATTTGAGCGTAAAGTTTTATAAGACAATACGTCTGTCGCTACAAACATACAAATTTTTATTATTTATAAGGTCACTGGTTGGAAATCAGTAGTATTTACTGAATCTGGAAGTTTTTTATCGTTTAAAAATTTGTTTATTTTTAGATTTCTGTTGTAGTTAACATTAAGATAATTGTAAATTAAATAATTCCATTGATTGCAAATTTTGAAGAAAAATATGAACAAAATATACAGATGATATGTATGTTTTATTTAGATCATAGTAGTATTATTCAAATAAGTGAATTTTTAGTTTGATAGATTTAACTTTTAACAAATTGACTTGATTTAATCAGTTGTCTGAATGCTATTTAGATATTAAATTTCTAGATAAATTGTTTATCGTTTTTACTTTAATTATTAAATTTTCCAAGGAGCTTCCCGTTCACATGATTTACAAACAGTTTAAACGAAAACCATTTTGATCTTTGAACTATACATGTTATAGTTTAACATTTCTAATACATACGCTAGGTTTTAAAATTATAATCTATATATATAAAAGAAAGTCGTGTTAGTTACTCCACTTATAACTCAAGAAGGGCTGAACCGATTTAGCTGAAAATTGGCAGGGAGATAGTTTAGAGCCAGGAGAAGGATACTTTTTATCCCGTTCGACAGATTCCTGTGTGACTTGACATGAAACGTCAGTCACTATAAAATGTGGTATAACAAAAAAGGATCAGACTTGGAATAACAAAACGCAATTGACAGCTATGTATGTAATTGACGTATATAGACAGATATGTAATGTCGTATGGATGACAATTTGATATTTATAAGAAATCTTTCTTTACTATATAAAAATAAGTCGGGTTTTCCTTCCTGACGCTATAACTCCAGAACGAACGAACAGATTTCCACGGTTTTGCATTCGTTGGAAAGGTCTCGGGCTCCGTGAGGTAACAAATAAATTCAGGAAAAATTTCAACAGAAAAGTAGGAAAATCTTTTTTCGCATACAGCGCTATCTCTTATACATAACATGTACTACAAATCAATATTTTATGTAGATGGTGCCGGTACATGATACATTGTTTGACAGCTTCTCATTGTTCTCTGCTCTGTTAATTTCATGTGACAAACCGGTATTGTGTTTGTAGTTTAAACTCTTAAAACCATTTAGTATTTGCGGGATAAATTTAGAAAATCATTGTTTTTCACATGGGCAGTAACGTTAGACCAAAAAACAAAAAATGTGGTTTACAAAGGAGCACTTCAATGAAACGGATAATTTGCCGACACGTATAACGCTTCGATTCGTTATCTACTTTGGATTCACTTTCATTTACTTAGAGAAGTTCAACTAAATAACACTTCGTTTTTAATCGAAATGAATTCATTACTGTTGTAAAATGAAATAAAAAAATTCCTTTTCAAAAATAAAACAAAAAAAAAGAAATTTTTCGTCTTATAATCACCAAGCGAAATGTTACATAAAACAAAGCCTTCTGGTGGCGAAACGGAGTTTGCCGGGTTTACTAGTTCATTAAAAAGATGATGAAAACTGAAGAGACATACATTTCTAGTCACTGATGAAATGGATTTATTGAGTAGAAAAATCTATTTGGGTACTTGAAAGCCTGATTTATTATATATAGCAGTTGCAACAAGAATTTCTTCTAAGCAACGTAGTATTTCTTATAATATCATATTATAAATATTATTGGTTCAGGTGGCTATATCTGGTCTCGGCGGGGGATGCGACATATGGTATTTTATAGGGGAATAAAAATACATCTCCCTTGTCTGTCTGTGCTCATCAAATGTGTTATTCTTTGTGTCGTTTATAGCGCCGTGAATAATTTCCTTTAAGTTTTTATGTAAACAAAAGATTTAAATTTAGATACGATTGTTGTAAGAACTAAGTAAAAATATAGGGACATGATTATATAAAATTATCAGTTTACCACAAGGATCCGCTTGTTGATTAAGATACATATAATATTACATGAGATGTGATAGCGACATGGCCGGGGATGTTTTCATGTTATTTATAGCAATAAATATTATATAAAACAGATCTCATTAAGACTGAAAATTGACCTTTGATTGAATTTTTGACATTTGTAAGTCTCACCTCCTAACGATAGGTATTAACAAATCAAATCTTCATTTTTCTTTAAATTACGATGGAAAAAAATTTCTTTGTCTAATTAATAACAGGTAAATAACGCCTAACGATGTCCTAAGTTTCCTAATTATGTCCTAAATAAATAAAAGAAAACGCGTCCCATTTAAGGCTTTACTAATTGAACGAAAAAGCGAGAAAAATTGTATTTTTTTATCGTTAAATACACGGTTAGTTTGCAAAATTTTATACATGAATACCATGGAGATAGATCTTTAAAATATTGGATTTCATTTCCCCATGAAATATTTTATACACATAAAATTGTTATAGAGAAATATTTGATGCATGAAGAATGTAAAGTATTTAAAAGCGGATTCTTTTTAGAAGCAATATGTATTTTATAACAAGCTTTTACCTAGCAACGTAGGTAAAGAAATATGCAATGATGGCATACTATCATGCTTTCAAAACCGTTCGTAAATGTTCCGTATTAGAAATATGCGTGGCTATGTATGTGTACATAAATAAAATTATTACAGGTGTATGAAAATTTAGTAGTAGTCTATTTTACTACTAATAATACTGTTATTATGATAATATAAATTTAAATAGTTATTGCCAGTCTTTTATTACCATTAAACAATGCTATTGAGTTAGGGAGTAAGCTATAACCATTGAACAGATTGGTAATTGCAGGCTCATATGCATCAACACGTTTGCACATTTCTGCACCAATGCTTTATTTAGATGGGTCGTCGATGGTCACAAAGCAAATTACGAGAAGAGATTTGTCTTTGATACTAATGCTAATAGCTTTTGGACTGAAATTGACAAAACCTAATTGTTATTCCACTAAATCCGTGAAATATTTATTAATGGAGACATAAATATATTAAATGTTACGTATATAAAAATTGGTGTGGATGGCAGTATAATGTGGACAAAATGAGTTAAAAAGTGAAGTTTTATCCAGAATGGACGTTGGTTAAACAGATTACGAACATGGAAGGAGAAATGGACTTAAATAACTTCAGTTCCCTGAAAGTTACTTCCAGTGTTGTAGAGCCAATTTATATTAGTTACCACATGAAGTAAAGGATTAATATGAAACTTTTATACATAAGAACATAAAAGGTTTTCTTTTAATTCAATATTTCATAGAATACAAAAAGAGTATAAAAATATTTTGTGAATGAAATCTAGTGAGAATGTCTCAATTATATATGTACTTCAAGAGTAATTTGATGGATCTTAGACATTGAAATAACAAAAGTTAAAGTAAAGTTGACGATTTAGGGGATGTTAATATAATTCGAGCAAATAGTAATACCGTTGACGCCTTATCAAGCTAAGAAAGGCGTTTACCTCGCGACTACGGCTACACAGAACATAGTAAATTATAAGTTTTATTAAAATTTCCCGTTATTCACTATTACTTTCCTAACATTATTTAAATTCGCTTTAAAGAGGTCCTAATACTAAATTATTTGCCAATAATAATCAGATTTTAAACTGGAATAAAAAATGTTTTATAAAAATATCATCTGAAATACAGGTGATAATAAAATAAATAACTTTTAATTTTAATTCCGTAAATATAACGTAATGAAAATAAAGATCGCATTTTCATAAACTAAAATAGATATAATAATTGATTTTCAAACAGACATTACTTTGTTAATGGCATCCCTAAGGTGCAGGAATGGCCCGATTCCTCATATCCCGTCCGGCCGCCGTCTCGACTGCACGTCTGTCGCGAACCGGTTGTGACGAGAACAAGTGACGATTCATGTAAGTATATCTTAATACATTAAAACTATTTAATAGTAGTGGTATTAAAAGTTGATATTTTTTGTTTTTATTATAATTTTTATTTTCATTTATTTTATAACCGTAAAAATATTTTTTAGTACTAAAAACTTAAGACAGAAATTTAATGCGCGCGATGCGATTGCGAATTTGCGATGACAGTTTTGATTTTAAATACTGAAGTTTTAGTTTACTAAGCTTGCATTTTGAATATTAATAAAAAGTAGGAACTAATATCAGCGGGATAGTGCTCGAAGTAGTGTCAAGAATTTATAATCATCTAGAAATTTTACTACTGCATTTATTAAGATTTTCTTTTTATACAGTTTAGAAATAATTATTAATTTGGGAAAATTTTGTTATTAAATTGGGACAGTATTTATCTCCCAAAGTTATCATTCGTGTATAAATTTAAAGAATGTATAACTTTAAACACTCGGTGTTATTCCTGTGGTAAGAAGCGTTTAAGACGCAAATTTAAATTTGTGATATGAAATGACAATATAATTAGATAAATTGATATTCACCAATTGTGTGAAAAAAAGTTAATAAATGCAAAAAAACAACAGTACCTCACAGGTTTTTTAATCATATCAGACGATTAAAATGATTATTCAGACAAATTAGGTTCTTAATTCCGTTCTATATTTTCGTGCGACGGTTTAATTTTTATTTTGGGGCTAATTATAACGATTTGATTTTATTGTTTAAATCAATTCGCTTAAATTACATACATGTCCCTCGATTCATTGGCGATAGAAAGAGACCTCTTAGTTTTGTTTGTAGATCTTCGGCTTGTTTTTTATCGATAACACTAACTTGTTCAAAAGTATTCTTTTCTTTCTTGAACATTGACCTTCTAATTAAATTGTGGCTGGACGTAGTGTAAAGATGTATCAAATTATATACATATAATCTAATATACATACGTCAATACATAGAGACATATTGAAGGGGCTGTTTTTTTTACTATGTATATAAAGACTCTTTAAGCTGTTTATGACACAAAAAATGTTTTCTATACATAAGTATATCAACCTACATAGAAAAATAAACCGATTTTAATTTTGACATTACTGGCTGGTAGTACTGTTTAAAGACTGTTTTTATAAATAATACTTTATCATAGAACTCCAACTCAATATAATAACTCTTAGGAAACATTTGTCTCTGTTCTTATATTTGAATTCAAAGCTACTTTAGAATAATAAATGAAACTTGGAATCGCCACAAAAGAGGCTCAAGGTGAACACAAAAAAGTATTTTGTCATGCACCTTTGAGAAGGGCTTTTAGAGCCTATTGTCTTAACAGACACGTTCAAAGAATTGTCTCTTGGTTCGCCTTTCAAAGATAATGCCCATTATACTTAAAGTAACTTAAAATACCTATAGAATTTAATTGGCTATTATTACTATTTAAAAGTAAAGTAATATTAGTATCGTTATTAATCGTTACTACATACAGCATTACTTTGTTTAAATTTCAATTGTTTTTTTATTTCTATTTTATTATATTAATATAAACGTTTAATAAGTTTTAAACTATATTTCGTAGAACCCAGGGCTTAAATTCGAATGTTAATGACGCTTTGATACGAGCTTTTATTCCACGTCAGTGGGGATCGGATTGATGTTGGATTGGGAATTTCAAAATTTTGGTAATCCCTCCAAATTGCTGAATGACGTCACGGAACGATGTTTTAATGTTTAAACAGAATTGCTGCTATACATGTTACAAAAATTTGACATAAAATAAATACGAGGCAATTGGTTCTACGTAAATGATATTTTGATGTGATGTATTCCATTTTGTGGGTATGCAAGTATTATTTGAGTAACACTTTCAACATCAATATAAAAATTTTCATTGCGTTCCAAAAATATCTTACTGCAAAGGTATTTTATAAATTAACAATAAAGTGTTTGAATCTTTTCTTTATCAAGCTTCATATATCTTATATCACTATATTGAAAGCGGTGAACCGTATATTTGTTTAATATACGCCCATATTTCGTTCTACGTAAACATATTCCACTGACCAAGCAGTCGTCTAGAAACTGATTCGATGCATTTAACCAAAAATGAACCAAACTTTTGATGGCATTGTTTATTATCAGATGTTGTGTGGTTGACTGCATACAGTTTTATTACTATGAAATATATTGAAACGATTTTATTAACCTCGTCTTAATTAACATATGTCTGAATAATACAACCTATTTGCGACCATTAATTTGATTAAGATCAAGAAGTTGTTCCATTTAAGTTACAACTATTCAGAATTACTCCAAACCAATACAGTATCAGATCAAAATGTCTTTATTTAATTAGTTTTTTTAAATATGTTTTAATTATTTTGCGAATGTTAAATAAATTTTAAGTTTTTAGCAAAAGATAATAATCAATGTAAAGTGAAATGACAACATTAAATACAAAGATTTAAGCAAGAAATTTTAATTAAAACTAAATTCTGACTAAAAGATAAAAGATATACTATTATGTATATATTGTACTTAGATATTAAACAAACATAATTTCATATATATTTTTATAAATGTAAAGGCTGTGGGTTAGTATAAGCCTCATTTTAAAATTCTATCTTGAAATTTGGACACATTCCAAGAATATTTAAAAGGTAAACGGAAATGTGGTTTTGAGAACAGGTTATGGATATATTAAAAATATTTTCTGAATAAGGACTGACGTAGTAAGTAGCCAAAGCTTAAAGGTTGTATAACATATTTATATTCGGTTGAAGTACTTTTGACAGATTACAGTCTATATGTGATTTCAATGTCTAAGCTTCCTTTGTGAATTTCTATTAAACTCCATGCAGTTTTCGCTTCAAAAACATACACCATTGTTCAAACCACTCCTTACGGCTTAGAAGCCATCTCTTTTATACTATAAGTAGAAAATATATATGCTAATTTTATAACAAGTAGGTAATATTTGATTTATATCATTACTTCGGATTACTTACTTTATAGAAGCTCTATTTATCTTAATAGGTTTCCGGACAACCCTTCTCAGAACATATTGGTGTAGAGTAACTACGTGCTTGATTGTACAGGGAAATATATACTACATTTTATTAAATTGTAAATATTCACCATAGCTTTAAATGACTTAAATAAAAATATAGAGTGCAGGATTCCTTAAATTAGTTTGACTTATGTAGTACTCTTGAAAGTTAATAGGGCTTAACGGTAACACTATTTAAAATCTGACTTCAGTACAACAAAAATCAATTTAAGTTATAATTTAACATTATCTTGGTATTATTTTCATAGTTATCCAGTTTTGCATTCGTTTTATATAAATATCTGTCTTAATAATATTTTTTGGTTACCCTTAAAGTAACGGACGCGGTCGGCTTTGTACAAAATATCCTTTTTGAATGAACATAATCCTTATATTTTGGTTATTTGATACAAATTGGGTTCCGTAGGTCATGTAATTGCTTGTTTGACTTAAAGAGAAAAGTTAAATGTAATAAAACTATACTCAGCGTTCGTTTGAAAAGTTTTTTACTTTGTAAGGATTCTTTGGAAGTATATGAAATGCTTTTGTTGATAAAATTTATATACAAAAATTCTCTTACTGAGATTCTTATATTTGTTTTGTATATGATAAAGTCACTTCCTTTGTGATAAGTTTCTTTTTTAAAAGTTCAGGGATCAATAAACTTTTTAGAGTTCTCTAAGGTTGAACGTCGAGTTTAATGACTGATAAATAGTAAACAAATATTTATCAATGAAAAATTGGAGACATTCAAATAAAATAACTGAGGGATTAAACGCTAAGTGCCCATACATTCATAGATCTGTGTGCGTGTGTGTATGTGGTTCGCTAGGAATTCTTTTTGCAATGATGGAGATTTTTGGATATCATTTAATAAGAGTTAAAGTATTTTAAGAAAAAAAAATTATATCTTAATAAATTATACAATAATAAATAGTCAATAAGTGAAAAAACAAAAACACCATAGTGTTTTTAAATTATTCTGCACCAAATAAGTTATGACTTCTAAACAAGAACTTTTTTTTATGAAAAGGGTGATATAAAATAAGTTCTATTATTGAAATATTAATTCATAAAATTTTTGGATATTTTTCTAAACAAAAAATAAATATGTCAGTCAGAAATAAAAGACAAAAAATACTATAATAATATGACATTAAAATCTGTAACTGTAGTACATTGCCCCAATATCAATTTAACAGATTGTGTCAATGGACAACCTTTAACCGAAGATAAGAAATACTCCAGCGTTAACGCTTTACGTTTATAAATAGTAAAGATATATATATCATTTATTTGATATTTAGAAATTATAATTTTTTTGTCCATAAAACGTTTTTCATATTTACCAATTAAATTATCGAACACAATTTGACGTTTCAGCGATTCCTGAAATATAGTTTGTGACTTGATTGATGAATTCTGTTTGTTATACAAATAAAAAACTGAAATCTAGTTAAGCTTTTTTGCCTTTTTTGCCTTGAAGCTAAATGTTAGCGGATTTTTTTATAGGTTTCTACAATTTTGTGGTTTGAGTTATATCTTTATTGTAGGTCAACGATTCAAATTCACCACAAAACTTTATTGATAATCGCAATGAATAATAATAGGTTTTTGAAAATTTTCATGACTATTATCGGAGTTGTTTCCTTTATTTTTCATTTGTAATAAATGGTCACCCTAAAAGTTGAAGTGAATGTGCGATAACACTTTAGACAGCCCTTTTATAGCCCCCTTTTAGCCTGTTGCTTGATTTAGTACCTTCAGTGAATTACAAGTATCTTATTTCTCAATATAGAAGTTACGATAGACCTTGTTGAAATTTACGATATTTGCTTATAAGTGAAAATTGAGATGATTTTCTTTTGTTTTTCTTAAGCTCATGTAAAATATAGTTTGTTGTGAAAACTAGGCACTCTTTTACCTACTATTTCAGCTATGTAGAGATGAATAAAATTATAAAGTTCCGTGTGGAAACTCAAAGTTAAAAGCTGTTTCACGTAACTGGATAAATATCACTGAAACGTTTGTCAAAGGAAACGTTATTATATTTTCAAGAATGAGGCTTTGTTTTTCTATAGAAGGAAAGCGAAGCTCAAATAATTGGGATGAAAACGTCCGTTCACAGCTAGTGTTGACATTTTAGCACTTTTTCTATTTTTTTGTGTAATTTTCCATTTTCAATTCGTTTAAATGGACAGTAATTTAACTAATTCTTGTCAGCAGTTCCGAGAATAGTAATTCGAATAACGAATTAAACGAATATAATCACTCTTGTATTCTATTGTTTGAAGTCAAACATTCTACTAAATGTTATAAAAGCTTACACTCAGCTTAGGATCATAAAGGTTCTTGTCACAACATAAACTATTTGCTTAATCAAGTTAGAGTTAATAAGAAAACAGATTTAATTTTTAAATGTGTAACATATTTTTCGTATCCCTTTAATAGGAAACCTTTTATCTGAGGTAAACTATCATGTCACCAACTTATTGCCACGGTTTTACAAGATAATATACATACAATAAATCATTAATTCAACAGCAAACGAATATTTAATAGACCATTGTTAAATGGTTGAGATTGTTACAATGACAATAAAATATTTACCTTCCTAGGGACATTGTTATTTTTATTCCTTTAAGGGAGATATTTTTATATGCTTCTTCGTGTGGTCAAAAATTTGTAAGACTTTCTGAAACTTTGAAAGTACCGTGGTAGGAGATTAGGTTTAAACTTAGACGATATTCTTACAGACGACTATAGACAATTCCTAATAAACTGTATAAATAATACTGAGGAAAACCTACCTAGTTTTACACCTAATAAACCCGAATACATAAAAAAGCAATAAAGCAAGGGATTAAGTCGATACAACCCTCATACATACAAATATCCCCTGTTATTTAAATGGAGACGCCACAATACGTCTATCTGACTTACAAATTTCTGTTCTTGCTCACAGCAACGTTTAGATTGACGTATCCATCTAAAAGGAATTGGTTAACATCATATGCTACATACTTTATATTAGAGAATAATAGCAGTCAACGTTAAAATGTCTTTTAGAATGAAAAATATTATCTTTTTAAAGTAAAAATAGATATGAAATAAGAAATAACTTTCTATAAATACGTTTTGTACTATTATAATAAATTTGACTCCTTAGGTTAGGTTCAGAATTATTTTGGCATATGAAGGAGCAATTATTGTATAATATAAGGCAAGAAAGTACCTACTTTGCGAACTATATTGAATCACGCCATATTTCCCTTGTGAATATACACAGGCCTTCTGGCATGCTGTGGTCATTTATTACCTATTTATACACAATGTTGTCTTGAAACGACACACAAGTAACAATCCCACATAGAATAGTCCTAAACAAACATTGTACTGATTATGGAATCTTATTATCAAGAGATAAATCTTAAAGTCGATACTTTGTAAATTAATTTTACTTATGCATACAATGGTAATACGGTTAAGCTTGCGATATGGGGATGCTTGAATAATAGATTTCACTATTAATACATGAACTATGATCATCCCGATTGTGCTATTTAATATTGTAGTCAAAACTTGTATACTTAGAAATACGAATCATAAAATAATGATATAACTGCCAATACTTCTTTTAAATACACCTTCTTTTAACAAATATGTACTTGAATATAATTATTATGTTCAAGTAACGCTAAGTATATGTTTATTGTTTAGCTCTTTTTTATAAAAGTAATATGTTTTTGGAAATGACTTTCAACCATATTAACTGAACTGTTTAACTTTTGTTTATTTCTATATATACTTATTTATTCAATTGTTACTATAAAGTACACTTCGAAAATTTTAGGATATACTGCGTCTGCCTCTTTAGCTCAGTGGCAGAGCACTGGTCTCGTAAACCAGGGGTCGTGAGTTCAAACCTCACAGGAGGCAAGCTTTCAGGCTGTCATATTTTGTTGTTTTGATACAAAATACTTTTTTACCATATTCCTATTTCCCTCATCATATCTTTTGTTTCAGATTCACGTGTAAAAAAAAGGAAAACGATGTTTCGCCATTGGTTGTTTTTCGCAAGCGTCGTGTACTTGGCCTGCTACTGCAGCGCGAATTATTGTAGGGACAACAATCTTTGTTGTCCTGGCCGGGACAGTGCTTGCGTCGTGCAAAAAGCACACCAGAACGCCATTATTGATGATCCCCTCGACAAGCCGTGTTACTGTGACCACGCTTGCATGAAACTTGGCGACTGCTGTCCTGATTTCAGGGAAACTTGCGGAGGTATAACTTAATGATTATTTTGTGAGACCACCATCTTTTATAACGTATATTTACAGATTCATATTATATTTAAGTTTATTTAATATGCATTTTACGGTTCTCAAAAAATTATTTTAAGGGTTCGGTTATTTTTTCTTCTTATTAATGGCAGTTCTTTTCTTAGAATATTAAATAAAATAAGTCACAAGGGACTGCAAGTTAATTTGGCATTTTTTCCACATGAATTCCCAGAAACGTCAGTCAAAAATACTGTCGCCATCTTTTTTTTAATTCTCTGCAACGTAAGCTCTAGATTAGGACAGCCCCAGTGGGCCTTATTTTAATGCCATTTGGATATTACATCCAGCTCTGACATGAAAAATTTATATTTCTTATGAAATATTAATATTTTTTACCTGGACGTAATATCTGATATTAAATTTGGCACGTCAGCAACTCGCTTCCATTTTGATATTAGTGAGAACAAAAAATGTTATGACAATGATTGATTTCATTCATTTAGGTTTTGCAAAACCGAACGATAGGTAAATTATGTTTTTTGAAGGCTTATTTTGAATTTTTTTTGTCTATGTTAAAGTGTTTTTAAAATTTAAGATAGAGAGAATTTGAATATTTCATATAATTTATACATTATTACAAAAGTTCTATTTGTTACAAACATGAAATAGTAATTTTATAGGTCAGGACAAAATAATGAACTACGCGCTTAGAGAATTTTTCAAGAAATATTTACAATATAACTTTCCTTTCAATTGTTGTTACTATAATTTTTAAACTTCTAATAAATAACATCATCTTAAAATCTATTTGTAAAATCTGAATATTACATGATCAAATCTGTGTTTACTCTACTGAATAATATTCAATTTAGATAAATCTTTATATCTACAAATTAATATTATCGTTAATTCTTATTTAACTTGTCAAAAAACTTTCTTTTTTAATAAAAAGACAATCTGTATTCACTGTCAAAGTCCCTAAACGGTTTTCTAACATTCTTCGCCATTATGTAAATTATAAATAAAACAGTACGAGCTGTATTAATGGAAATTTAAAAATGAAGAGCAAATCTCGGCCCCATTCGTGTATAAAGGACTGGCTTTCGCTCACAATTTTACCGAGCATAATTTAACACGGGCACAATACAATTTGTGAATCAATTTTCAAATAGGTCCTGTCGTTAGCTATTATGAAATTTTTAGATGTGTAATAATTGTAGAGGTAAATACTAAATATTAAAATTGTATATTTTTGTTTTGGTATCTGCTTGACCTAAAGATTAACGATGATATAGATTACATTTTTAAACGACAATAGATTTTTATCTTTTTATATGAATAGGACTAAAATTCAGGGAGTTTCGAGTCAATGGCTGATAGATTGCTAACACTTATCGCGTATAAAAAAGCATTACAAAGAGTCTGCTTTTCTACATAAAGGCATTCTTACAGTATTGGATTGCGTGGTATCTGGTTGGGGAGAATGGTCTGAATGCGACAATGAATGTGGTTCGGGCAGCATGATGCGAAGTCGTCGTGTGGTGCAGGCCCCGGCTCGCGGTGGAAAACATTGTCCCACTTTGGTACAAAGAAGAGCTTGTCAATCCCACCACGGTTGCACTGAAGAGAGTGACATACCATTACGCGGTAAGAATATATTGTGCTTTCTTTACTTACCTTTTATTTTTTTTGTAATAATAATGACCAGTTATTCCTTGCTGACGAAAATTACTAACAATCATTTCGTTTATTGACATAAGATTTTACGGAGCCTTTTTGCTCACAGAGGAATCAGCGATGATTTTACCCGGCTCCCTCTCTATAAGTCGCCATTCCGATGAAAGTGTTGACATCAGGAAGAACTTGCGTCTACGCAATCCTGATGACCCAGAATCGAATTCTCATAGGGAGTAAGTATAAATCTTATTTCTTTCTATGATAGTAGTTTTACTGAACTAGATATTTTAAATAAATGTATTTGTGTAATTGTTTCTTGTTAACTTGTTTTGCTCTAGTATGAATATTTGGTAAGTACCACATTTTCAGAAAAGTCACCTTCTGGCTTCATAAATATAACACAAAAAAGTTGTGGTGCACTTTATACAAAAGAAGACGTTTTAATTAGAACATATAAAGTTTATTTAAAATTGTGTTTTGAGGTTCCTTAATTATTCCTATTTATTTCTTCGCAATTACAATGGATGCGGTTTCGAAATGAAATATTGTCTCTGATGTGAATGAGGTTTTGTTTTTGTTAAAGATAAATTTAAAATGGAATATACCTTCGTTTTCCAGTTATATTCTAAAGCGTAAACTTAATTGCGCTGGTACATTTAAATTATTTTTGTTACAACCAAAAAGCGAGCATCGCAATCGGGATTCAAAATAAAATATCCTTTTTTACCAAACTTTTTGTTTAGGTACTGCGTACAATATGAGGTTACGAAAGTATCCAAGGCCTGCCACACTGACTCCGATTATAAAGCTCTACGAGAGGGTAAGTATTTGGGAACTTATAAGAAATTTTGTGGATAGTATTAAAAGGCACTCAATGAAAATAATTAATTGGCTAATACTATTTATTTATAAGTTATATTTCCTTCAAATAAAAACTAATAAGGACTTGGTGATTAACAATTACGAGTGTTTATTAACAAATCTAAATCTTTCTTTTAACTATTAATCAAAAATTATCAATATTTAAAGAAATAATATATATAAAAAAAAACTGATCATAAACCAGAATAAAAGAATTAATTGAGAACATACTTGAATTCTTTTAATAAGCCATTGTTTTTGCTTACTTATACATCATAGGTGCTACTGTATGTGTCATGTGCGAGACGGCGGCACTGAGACGTGATCTCAAATGGCGTTGCGGCGGCCACGGTGTATCTGGACACGCCACACGTTTTTACGCTCTCGTGGCTCCACATTGCCACGGAAAATGGATCCGCGCTTCAAACAATGCGGACAAGAACTCCGGCTGCTGTCTTAAACCGGACTTCATCTTCGTCTAGATCTCATCTTATTAGACTATTTCTTTTATTTAAGTTATTTGTTTCATTATTAAAAGGGTATGAAAACAAAAGGGTACCACATAAAGAGAGATACAGTCCCATTAAGGAACTTAGACTTTTTGAAAATTCCAGGACAGTTTTAAGCAGGTTTTGAATTTTTCATAGATAATAAGCGAATATAATATTCAATGTAGTCAATGATATTCCATAGAATAAGTGGGTTGCGTAAGTAACTGACTATTCTAATGGTTCATAAATATAGGACGAATGAAAAAAAAAGTAGATATCATATACTCATACATGTTACTTCAAATAATTAATACAAAATGAAGAAAAAAAAACATAGTGAATAATTCCAAATAATTAAAATCAATTCCTGTTTAAGTAACTATATCAATGTTAGTGGAAAAAACTTTCAAAACACAGTCAAATATAACATCATATTTAGTCTTTATTTATGTAAAACTTGGTTTTATTAAATTATTTTACAGAAAATACAATAATTTCGATTTTATGATATTTTAAAAACATGTTTCAACAAATTAGGCTTCACTATGTATTTTCGTTATCATCTCCAAAATACGTATAGCATATTATATTTTTCTTTATAATGATTTATTTAATATTAAGTATATTTAGTTTTTATATATATAGTTAGAATATGATGTAAGATTGCAATGACTGTAAATAAATTATGAAATTCAGAATATTGTTTTATTTAAATCTCAATAATATTAAGTTTTTAAGATGTTCCATACGATAAAAATTTCTCTTTTAATACTAAAAATGTTGATGATTTTTTTTTATACATACATAGAAGAGTACGTAAAATTTCTTTGATGTAAAGCTTTGAATACTTTCCTCGATCAACAGCGACATATTACTGAAATTTTCCTAATATGCCACTTACATATATATTAATAATTCATATAGGATAGGATTATATACTAAATAAAGATCGTTCTACACTTTTTTCCACTTCTTTGATAACCAGTATTTGTTGTCAGAAAACGGGAGCTTTTCATGTTGTTCTATATGTACACGAGAGTTTTTTTTTAACTCGCTGCTGTCGAGAATTTTCATTAACTGCACGATTAAAGTTTGTGGACGAAAATTGATTGGTTGAAATTTCGAAATTACTTGCGATTCAACGATTTAAGATTTAAAAAAATTCTTTATTCGACTTATTCACTTATTATTAGAACGACTCTGAAAATTTGTTTTGATTATATTCTCTGCGAAGTTATTCTCGACTTCTGAAATTGTTTAAGAAGACCAATTAATTTATTTATTAGGTTTCGTTTAAAGTTTTACCAGTTTTTATTTTACGATATCAACTTTGATATAAATGAATATACGGTTATCAATTTTGATATTAATACTTAATATATTAATACGTAAGTACATTAATAGGAAATAAAAAAGGAGAATTGTGTTCTTTATTTGAGACCGATGGACAAATCTCTCTTTGTAATCGATCAAGCATAAGGTACTTGAAATAACAGACAGAAAGTGTTCAAATTGGTCCATAACTTTTTAAATAAAAAGTAAACAACTTCTCGGAGAAACAAAAACACTCGTATAACATAATAAATGTTAAATTCATTGTCAAACAGGCAGCCGTTTGAGTTATGCTTTTTAGTTCACGCAGTTAAGTGGATGATTAATGAGACAAGTTGTTATAATTCCATTATTTAACTTTCTGAAATGCATCTCTATATTTTAAACTATTTTTTTCATATATTTAGAACGATAGAAAATTTTTACGCCATATTCGTACCACCTCAAAATATTTTTTTTAAATGATATATAATTAATCTTTTTGATGATGTTGAATGATCTTTATTCTGCTTGTAATAATTAATACTTTTTTATGACGCTTAAATGATATGATACAATATGCAGTAAATAAAAACTAGATACTAGATGAAAAAACCCAACTTTTAAATTAAAAGATAGTGAATTATTCTTTTTTGATGTAATATTTGCAGCACAACTTTTTCAGTAAACTGTCGTATGGGTCACAGTTCATTGAAATGAACACTATGTTTTTAAAATGAACATCAGTTACGTGTAGCTGGAGAGGCCAATATGGCGACTGGGATTTATCTGTCAGCACTATTTGAATTTAACAAAATATTCAACAATTCGAATTTCGCTGATAAATGTTGTTGACTGGTGTCCTTTATTTTTTATGTTTTATTATTCAGGCAACGTTTTGATCATGTCTACCTCATCACTAGATTAATCTATCAATATAAATTTGGAAAACGAGTTTCTTTTGTTTTCGAGATATATATTTTTTTCTGAAATGTAGTTGTCATATCACAGCATCTACTATAGTCTATATTTTCCCCTTAAAATGTATTTGTTATCTCAATTACTCTTCGATAAATAAAATGCACTTTATATTTAAAACTTGTATGTTGTTGATAATAATTAAATTTCACAGCCATTAAAGCTTAAATGCTTTTGCAAATTGACCACCTCCATGGGAAATAACAAAACAAAAACCTTTGTCTATTAAGTTATAAAAAATAAGCATATAAAAAGCATACGACCCGAATACATTTAAATAAGGGTAATAGAATTTATGCATACATATAATATACATACATAAGGGAATGCATGAGCATGTTAATATTGTCTTTACCTACCTTTGAGTGTACAACACAGTAAATACAACGTAGTTTGTAATATTGCAGGCTGCTCAACCAGGAGTTGAATTAAAGCAGAGCACATGCTTCATACGTCTAGATCAAATATAACATAAATGTTATTCAAATGTTTTAGACGTGAGTTTTGTTTGTTTTGTGACATCAAAAGAGCAAATCATAGAGGAAGCTCAGCAGAATGTTAATATTATCTGGCTTATCATAATATACACACACACACATATATATATATATGTATGTATGTGTGTGTATCTATTTAGTTCTGATTTGTAAAGTAAGATGCATTTTGTAATTAATTCTAATTTTACGTCATTTTGGCGTTGATATTTGAATGGTTCAGTTTTAGCTATTTATACTATGAAATGATATAAATACGATATTATCTACAACGCATATATGGCTATTAATAATAAAAGGCTGTTATTCGCACATTTTCTAACTGAAACTTTTATTTGATATTCTGAGTGTGGGAGTAAAAATCGTAGGCTATATTGGATTTACAATAATGTCCCATAGCCATGTAATGTTATACATAGTAAATATACGTATATATTTTTTTTCAAATGAAATTAAAATAAAAACAATTATATGAATCCATCATTAACCTTTTGAAATAACACATTTTTCTAAGCTTAGTTTGATATTTAAATGTCATTGCAAGCGCACTTCCACAAAATCTTCTCTCTTATCTAGCGCACGTAATTTGACTCAATTTAGTCACTCAATTTGCTCATCACCTACGGCTAAATTGTGGGCTGATATACATATCACATTGAAGAGTTTAGACACTATTTTGAGATAATTTAAATTTTTGATAGCATTATATAGGGGACAGTTAGGATATTTTGCCTTTAGTTCATTTAATTCTACCATTAATTGGTTAAATCTACATCATATAAAATTTCTCGTTATTTATTGACTCTGCTAAAGATTCTTGACTAAAATAATATAACCCCAATGAAAGAAGACATTTCAAAATATATTTAATAAGGGATTACTTTACTTTAAAGAGGGCAGATTAAATTATAAACAGTCACGTTATTATGACATTATTGGCTGCTGTGAATGTAAAAGTTGAATGACAATTGAATACCTGTATTCATTTTACAGCTCTTTTAAAACTGGATGTCGATTTTATTCTGATAATTCAAGGAAAGAGAGTTTTTCAAATATTAATATAGGGCATAAAGCAAAAACGTATTTATAATTTTTTGAACTATCATGTTTGTATCAAACATATTAATGTTAAAAAGATTGAAAAATGAAAATAAAAACCCTAAGTTTCTGAAATATTTTGAGAATGAACAAAGTTTTTTATTTTCACTATATTTAATATATTCACAAGGCAATAAAACATTTTATTTATTAACTTTATGTAAAATAGTAAAATTTCACGGAAGTGACATTCGTTTTTGTAATTAAGAAAGATCATTTACAGAAACGAGAATTAAAAAACTGAACAACTTGGTAATTCCATAATATCTGTTAGGAGTTTTAGCAGTCTGTGACAATGGAAGCCATTAACAATGCATCATTGAATCTATTAAGAGACGGTGAACAGATTATACCTTTACAAGATTTTGCATTTTTCAATTTTAAAAGTATTTTATCATCTATATATGTCAGATATTTTGACTTGAAAATGCGAAAAGGGTGTGCATGGAAATTAATGGATTTGTTTATTACATTAATTAAAGATAAAATATATAGGTATTTCTTTACACAACTTTTTAAACAAAAATATAAAATTCTAATTAATACATTAGTTACGAAGTAAAACAAAAAGTTTATCATACAAATACTACAAATACTAACTACAAGTTAGGGTGGTGAAATTAAACACAAAAATATTGCAGTTCTTGTCATTAAGTTTGCCAAAAAACAAGTGATATTAACAGCAAAATAAATAGTTTCAACAAAACAATTTTTATTTAATATATAATGGTAATATTACTAAGACTAAGAACATTGTATACGAAATTTTATAAGCTGCCTTCAAAATCCTCTTAAACGATTTTCATATTGTCATAAATTTGAAAACAGTTTCTGTGGAAGCTTTTTTTACTTTCACATTAACTTATTTTTTTCAATTTCATTTTAGTGCAGTAAAAAAGAATTTTAAGTTTTTTATATATTATTTATGTAAAAAAAAATAGTGATGTTGAAAAAAATGGCGTTAGACAAGCATTGGTGCTTTGACTATTGACTAAAATGTAGTGTCGTAAAATATTCGGCTATTGACTAAAATGTAGTCTCGTAAAAAAAGACTATAATAAAAAATAGATCCTGAAATATTCCAATATTTCACATATTTAAAATGTGAAT